GACCCAAATTCTGCGTACAAAGGCAATGCCCTTTGCCGAGAAGACCAGTGTGACGTTCATTGAGCCATTCTTCCGTCGAAGCACGAGGCCAGGGATGGTGCGTGAGAAGTAAAGTCCTCCGCCCTCGACAACCCACGTTCTGTGTCAGAAAGCCGAACGGCAAGTGGCGCATTGTTCATGCCTTTAACAAGCTAAATGCGGTCCACTATCCCCGCGGCAAACGCCGATTCCTCGCAAAGATGTTCTTGCAGAACAACATGGTAGGCTGTACGCTGTACAGCGCGCTCGACTTGGTCGATGGCTACTACCCAATTGCTCATGAGAGCGAGCGACATTCCGCTGACAGCGGTGAGTACTCCGAGCGGTATGCTCTGGGAGTGGCTGGTGATGCCCCAGGGGCTGTCAAACGCACCAGCAACGTTCAATCGTCTTGTGACGCAGCTGTTTAGGCCCCACCGGGCGTACGCTCAAACGTACTTTGACGATATATTCGTCCATAGTCGTGCCGAGCACGGAAAGTCAGACGTGGATAACCACATTGACCACTTGCGAGCGGTGCTCGAGTGCATGCGCACTAATAAGTTGTATGCCAACTTGGACAAGTGCGTCTTTGGCGCGGAGGAGATACCTTTCCTCGGGTGCTTCATTGGGAAGCGTGGCTTACGGGCAGATCCTGCCAAAGTCAAGGCCATCGTGGACTGGCCGGTTCCCAAGAACCAAAAAGACTTACGCAAGTGGCTAGGCTTAGCCAATTACTTGCACAAGTACAGTGCGAACTACGCGGAGATGGCTCGGCCATTATCAGATCTCCTTAAGAAGGACGCACCATGGTGCTGGAACGTCGAGCACGACGGAGCCTTTGAGGCTGTGAAGGAGAGCCTTCTCCAGGCTCCGATCCTTGCGCTGCCGGACCCGGATAGTCCGTTTAGCGTCGTCTGTGACGCCTCCGATTTTGCAATCGGTTGTGCTTTACTACAAGCAGACGCCGAAGGGCGTGAACGCGTGATCGCGTTTGAGTCTCGCCAGCTCAAAGCTGCAGAGAAGAACTATCCAGTTCATGACAAAGAGCTACTTGCAATGAAGTATGCTCTAGTCAAATTCAGGGTACACCTGCTAGGCTCTAAGCCTTTTGTGATCTTTACTGATCATGCGTCGTTACGCACTGCGACACAGTCGCCTCATCTCTCTCAGAGAATAGCAAGATGGCTTTCCTTCTTTGCCGAGTATAACTTCGAGGGTGAAGTACAAGGCCGCGGCGGCCTAATGTAGTGGACCGATGCGCTCTCGCGCAGGCCGGACTACGAGTTAGCTCATGTCACGACAGTGACGTCGTCAGTGCCCTGACTTGATACGCGGAGCGTATGCACAAGACGACATGTGCGTAGCGCTGCTACGGGCTCTTGGGAGCGAAGAGTTTAAAGACTCTGACAAAGGAATTGTCTGGGCGCTTACGCGCGAGGCTGCATCGATACTCACTCGATGGCGGCCTGCTGTACTACAGCACCGACGCTGAGGATAACCCTCGTGTAGTCGTTCCTCATGATGAGGATCTAAAGTATCGAATCCTCTATGAGGTTCATGATACGCCCGTGGGCGGGCACTTAGGTCGGGAGAAGACCTATGGCTCGGTGAGCTCGATGTACTGGTGGCCCAAGATGTATAAGTGGGTCGGCACCTATGTACGCACGTGTGAGACGTGTCAACGGACAAAGTCCGCGCCGAGCACGGCAGCGCCATTGGCGAGTTTGCCTGTCCCCAAGGGATGCTGGCAGTCCATGAGTATGGACTTTGTGAATGGCCTTCCCAAGGATAAGGCGGGAAACACAGGTATAGTGGTCTTTGTAGACCGATTGAGCAAGATGGCTCATTTAGCGGCAGTGCCGGACACCATTGATGGTGAAGGTACAGCTTTGCTGTTTTTAGACCGAGTCTTTCGCCAACATGGCTTGCCTGAGGCAATTGTCTCGGATCGAGATCCGCGCTTCACCGCGAAGTTCTGGACGTCCCTCTTCAGAGTGCTCGGCACTCGTTTGGACATGTCCACGGCGGACCATCCGCAGACCGATGGTCAAACCGAACGCGTGAATCGCGTTGTGGAGGATACCCTCCGAAGCGTATGCGCTGAGGCGCCAAAACGCTGGAGCCAGATGCTCCCACTCGTTGAGTTCGCATTAAATAATGCAGTGCACGCCTCGACAGGCTACACTCCGTTCTATGTGAACGGCTTGGTTAACCCTCGCGTCCCACTGACGCCGCCACGCAGTGGCTCAGGGCTTGGTGGGGGAGGGATAGCCGAGCGGCTAGCTGATGTCAGCCCTGTTGCGGTTCGCAAGCAAGTCGATGACTTTGTCTCTTTGAGACTGAGCGTAATGCGTCAAGTACGCGACGCTATGGCTGAAAGCCAAGACACGCAAAAGGAACATGCAGATGCCAAGGGCAGAAGCAATGTTGAGAGGTTTGAGGTCGGTGACCAAGTTTTATTAAACGCTAAAAACCTACCTACTCATGCAGTGTCTGCAGTCTTCAAGACGAAGTTAAAGAACCTCGGTTCCATAGGACCGTTCAAGGTCGTGGCCAGGAAGGGGCCTAGCGTATACGCTCAACCTTCCGAAGAAGATGCCGCACGCATCCGGTCTTGTATGTCGGCTTGCTTAAGCCATACCAAGACCCTGCTCAGGTGAGCGCGGAGGCGTTGGCACCAACGGTGGCTGGGCCACGGACAGCTGCAGGGCAGCAGGTGGTAGAGCCACGGGAGGCTGAACGACAGCAAGTGGTGGATCCACAGATGGCTGATCAACAGCATGTGGCAGAGCCACAGGTCGCGGAGCGAAGTGCTCGAGATGCAGGAGCAAGGCAAGCTGAACGTTCAGCCGAGCAGCTGGGCGCTCAAGGTCCGAGACCTGGTTGTGAGTCAACAGTGGTGGCTCTAACCTATCCACAAGGTGGATCATCTCTTCGAGATCGACCGATGGGCGGTGAACGTTCGCGTCGTGGACGCCGGCGTCGTATGGACGCAGACGCCGTTCCGGCAAGTGCTGACTCTCCCCGCGAGAGCCCAGCTGAGGCAAGGCCTCCTCCTGCTCTGCTCGATGAGCATGGTGAGCTCCACTTTCACGTGGAACGCCTTGTGGCGTGGCGTAGACGCCAGGGTCGTACCCAGTACTTAGTGAAGTGGAGGGGTTACCCTCACTCACAGAACTCATGGGAGTTTGAGGTTATCCTCCGGCAAGATTGCCCTGACGTCGTTGACGCTTACGACCGGGCACATCATGTGCCGAAGCGCCACCATGGACGTGCGACAGCGTCGCCAGGCGCTGGGCGCCTCCCACTAGAGTGGGGGAGCGATGAGGTCAGTAGTTGAGCTCAGGGCTCTGACCAGTGACTGCAGCAGCCAGCTCGTACGTATGAGCGGTGCTCGCAGCGGGAGCAGGGAGTTGAGAGACCTCGTAGTGTTAAGAACATGACCCCGAAGGAAGCAGGGTGCTTCGTGTTGTGCTGAACAAGGTTCAGGCCACAGCGTCTTCGATAGACGCATAGTTGTTTTGAAACAACTTGCTCGATGAGCATGATCCAAATGTGGATGCGCTGTAACAGCGAAAGTGGTGTCCCGCACGTGGATCGAACCACTGGCCTTTGGCTTGACAGGCCGAAGCTCTACCATTGAGCTACAAGGGCGATGCCCGTACGTCAGTCCGAGAACGGACTACTCATGGTATGAGAGGGCTGCGGCGGGGTGGATTTGAACCACCGACCTGTGGCTTTCAAAGCCAGCGCTCGATCACTGAGCTGAAAGGGCGCTGTCCTTAAGCTTGTCCATTCAAAGACAATAGTTCATGGAACGAGAGGGCTGCGCCCTGGCGGGATCGAACCACCGACGTGTGTCTTACACAGCCAACGCTCGACCACTGAGATAAAAGGCGGGATTGCTC